CGTAAGCACAAAATGTAGGCAGAATGTTGATAGGCTGGCAGAAGATTTGATCAGAGAATGTTAACAGACTATTTCAACTGATGTCGCATTTTGCTTCCGTTCTAAGCACGTGAGTTGACATTCTATGTTAGCAGCAGAAACCGAGCAGGATCTGCTTAGATTATGAGAAGTGTTGCCATATTTGGTACAATTATATCAAATATGATACATTTTTAATTATATTGACACATTGTACTTCATTATACATTGCAAACAGTAAACAAATGAAAAAGATAAATCAAAATTTTTTGTATATTTTAATTCAATTTGGTACATTTTTACTATTTAGTTGTATATTTTTCAACAAAATTAAAGGCTCACCTGTTCCTCTCTACACAAATAGCTAAATTTCAAGATATAACTTCGTAAAAAATCATCATATTGAGATGTTCAAGAATTCATTTTACAGCTTGAAATTTTTACTTTTCAGATCGGTATTTTAGAGAATAGTCTCACTGACATTTTATGAAGTTACACAAACATAAATAAAGCTGCATCAAATTTCAAAATTTTTTACAAAATTTGCGAAATTTTACGATGCGAATTAAAAATTGCACACAAATGCGGTTTACAGCTTTCAAAAAAGTGAATCTTTACCTTTAATTTAATTTTATTGACCTCTATACGATTTTTTTTCATCGAGTTAGTCAATATCGAAGCAAAAAGGATCATTTCGCGAATCGCTCCTAAAACGATTACGAAGAACGAAACACAATCTCATTTTAACGCAGTAAAACTATAAAAAAATGAGAACTCAGTCAGTTATCAAAAGATAATGCAGAATGCATATTCTGTAATGCTCCATTTTCCAAAGATGAAATATATAGGCTCAGTGCATAATATGTGAAATGTGAAATCATGAAGAATGTGCTGGCTCTGATAAAAGTCAATATGTTTGTGAATTGTACAAATAAAAATGCTTTTTGATGATTTTTTGAAAGCATTCCATAACCGGAATCTTTTATCCTTCTTCAGCTTTTTGTAAATTACATTTGTTCTGTATACCCGAAGAACTTCTACTTACAGCATAATTGGAATCACTCTATGACTAACAAATTATGGCTAATTTATACTAATAGTTATATCACATAAATATCTATTGAATTATTTAAAATAAAACAAAATGATATTCTATTCCCACATATTTTCCTCTATTTGTTTGTTATGGAACTTATATCGGAGGATAATTATTTTCAGTATTATTAATTTTTAAGAAACTAAAATTATATTTAAATTACTATAAATTTCAAAAAATTAAAAACTTAATTACACATCAAATTAAAGATAATTGTAATGTTTAAAAGTAGAATAAATTCAAAAGAGGATTTCCTTCTTATAAGATTAAGAATTATTTTAAAACTGATTTAGAAAGGTAATGTTTAGCTTTCTAGTTATTTTTAATTTATTTGAATAACAGGGTGATTGATAAGTAACGATAAATTTTTCACATAGGAGCAGAATGAACTAAACTGAAAAGAAAAGTCCTCTATCTTAAAGTCCTCTTTAAGTAAAAAAAATTAAAAATCAATTTTCGGCAATTTTTAGCAATTAATATTTTATTAACTGTTGTAAAATGGTAGAGGACTTTTCTACTTAGATTAGTCCATTCTATTTCCGTGTGAAAGATTATCGTTACTTATCAAACACCTTGTATATATTACATTCATGTGCATATAATAAAACCCAATGATTAATCAGATTTAAATAAATTATTTTCATTTATCTATAAATATCCTATATTTTATTTTTATATATAAGTGGGTAAAATAAAGACTTTATTCTCACTTAATTTAGTTCAATATTCTCATAAATATAATTTTTTAAAATTATATATATATATTGTATTTATGATTTTCAATAAAATTGTGTTAGTTTGCATTAGCAAAAAACTGGCCTTTTTTTATTATTTTTCAAGAAAAATATTTTTAAAAATAGTATAATCAAGTTTATCTTATTATGCTTTAGTATCATATATAGAAGAGAGTGCCAAACTACTTTGCGTACCTTTTATTTAACCCTTCCGTTGATATACTTATTTTTTCGATCTTTTTGACACACTGGGTGGCTCACACCCAGATCAATGTTTAAACAACTGACATTCTTATTTAAAAAATCTAATCATGAAAAAAATTATGGGTCAATTTCAAGATCTGTAGAATACATTCAAATAGTTTTTAATTGAAATTTCATTACAGTTTTTGTGAAAAAAAAATTCTTGAGTTCAATGAATAAGGAAAAAACGAAAAAAATCTTTGAAAAATTGTAACTTTTAAAATATTCAATATTAAAAGTTAAAAATTTACAGAATTGTTGTTCAGATATGATACTTTGAAAAACAAATTTGTAAGTTTTGGATAAAGGAGATATTTATTTTGCATATTGAATGTAGGCTATTTTGAGATTTGAAAAAACAGAGATTTCTTTATAAACATTGTATTTTTGTTCTATAAAATAAAAGAAAATTGAGTTTTAAAGAGTTGAATTAATTTTATGGGTAGTTCACACCCAGTATGTCAACGAAGAGTTAATTATCTTCAATTTTTTATTATATTTTCCATTTGACATTGATTTGAACGCAAATTGAATATTAGAAATTGTAACTTGATGTTTTAGACAATCTATTATTATATGTTTAACATTTTACCAATAACAAATTAATTTAATATAAGTCTTTTTGTAACATGCAGTAAAAAGTAACAATCACTTAAATTGTACCTATAGGTTTTTTAAATACTATTTCTTTTGAAAGTACCAAATTTGAACGAAAATAATTAAATAAAATATAAGAGTAACAAAAGAATTATTAACTAATACCTAATTTTATTAACTTATCAAAAAAAGATTAAATATTTAATAATTAATAAATAATAACAAAACAATAAGAAAAAGGATGACAAAATAAAACTAGATTGAATTTATTTTTGTAAATTATTCATATCAATTAGTTTTATTATAAATCTTACCCCTTGTGTTAGTATGATTTAAGAAACTTGATAGATCTTATAAAAAATACTTAATCGACCAGTAAACCAACTTAATCTTTATAATAATTGCAATTGTATACACAATGAATGTAAAATAATCTATAATAAAGCTTCTTTTATGGAAATATAAAAATTCAGAATACAACTGTATAAATATATTATAACTGTATAAATATATATATTACATAAATTGGTTAAAACTTAACATCACTTATACTTGATTATTTTTTACAGTTTTGGCGCGCAAAACAAGATATAACTTGTTAAATCTTTGTCTTTATTATTTATTTCTCGTTTATCTCATATTTTTATTAATAAATGTTGCTCATATTAAGTAATAATGTAAAATATTAATGAGGTATGATTTAGGTGACCCACATTTAGTAACTCTCCCCTATATATAAAGAAAATTAAATTATAATACAATATATAACATTAAAAAAATATATGCCACCTTAAAATAACTTTGTCATAAACTTTCTCTTAATTTTCTTTTATATATTGGCCTATACTCTGATTCCCTTCGAATTCTCTTAATTAATAAAGAAAAGAATATTTCTCAACTCCAACAACTTTCCGATGAATTTAAAATTTAAAATGTGAGATACTTTATGTAGCTTGTTTAGTAAATGTATTAAAAAAATAAAGAAAATTTATATAAAAAAATATATTTTGGAGTAACGTAGCATAATTTTAGACATGATGTAACAGCAGAAGTAAATATGTCAAGATCAACATCTTTCTTGGCTCAATTCAATTTTTGCATTTGCGACTGCTACAACTTTCCCTCTCCTATAATTTCAATTCCATTTTTCTCTTTATTATGCATTTCTTATTATAATATATCTTTACACTATCCCTATAAGTATATTATATTTTATTTGTTTTCTTTATTATTTGTACCACATCTTGTTTATTATAAGCACAAGTTGATTATTATGATTGATTAATTATTATGACACAAAACGAATAAATTCTTTACACACATATACACGCATAAGCACGCATATGCATATATACGTACATAAAAGAAGAGTTATAATTACCTAATGTGTACTATTAAAACACATTTGTAGCAAAACACTTTTATAAACAAATCGAAGCATAAATATATAATATACTAATAAACGTAATTGTGTGATTGTTGTATATTTTATTTTCTATCTTTATTTTTAATAGTATTTCAAGAAAACGGTTTAAAAATATATATTCAGATCTACTATTTTATGTTCACTTTTATCATTTCATTATTTTGTTATTTTTTCCACTGTTTTGATTTTAATATATTTTCTTAGAAAATAAAGAAAGCTATATAAAATGAAGAGAGTTTCAAATAATAGATACATTAAAAAATATTACATATAAATTAGTTAAACAGAAAAATTAAGAGTTGAAACAGAGATAATGTATATTATAAATTTTCAAAATTCTCATGTAATTACATGCCAATTAGAACAGAAATGCGAATTAAAACGAAGAAGAGGAAAAAAATGTAGACAATAAATGAATGTTCATTTTTTCCTAAGATATTCAGCTCAGCCTGAAGATCCTAAGCGAAGCAGCTGCTGCTGCATCATCGCGTTGCAGTGAGTATCCACTAGTGGGGGTGTAACACGTTTAACACATGCACGTGTTCTCTCGGCAGACACGCACAGAAGAATGGTTCGACGCCATCAACGCATCACGACACGACTCGTCGTGAGAGTGAGAGAGAGAGAGAGAGAGAGAGAGAAAACGCGCGCGCGCGCACGCGAACGACGTATCGCCATTTTATATTATTATTGTCTTTCGCTGTAAAATTTAGCCCGCAAAACGATTAGTTAGTCCTTAAACTGCGATAGGCACGATAGATTTTAAAGTCGTTTAGATTAATTAATTCTTGGATATGTATGATTTTTGGATTGTTGAAACTCGAGCTATACGTTTCATTGTTAACTCATTGAATCTATATACTTTCAACGATGCACAAACGCTCACCATATAATCACATCGATACACAAACACTTCCATGGGATTTTTCGCGTACTATTATACGCATATCGATTATCCGAAAATCATTAACATTCAATGTCAAAATTGAAAGTCGCAACGAAAGGACGAACGTCCAAGTTGCTACTCCGACGGTTCACCTTCGACTGAGACCTGAGGCCAGCGGATCGTGTGGAGTCGCTTGAGAGTGGAACGGCAGACACAAGAGAGAGCTAGTGGCACCAATAGCAACGGTGGATTCGTTTTTGGAACTTTCACTGTCAATGCGCGCCTTGTATCGCAGTGTGCTTTATGCCTGAATAAATCTGCGCGCTCATGTGCTTGTAGTAAATTATGAGTAGTAAAAAAACTTTCATCTATAGTATAATATAATACATTTTTTAATTAATTCTATTTATTATCTCTATTTATTAATTCTATTTATTCTCTTTATATTTCAAAAGAGTTCTTAGAGAAAAAATGGAGTTACATTAACATAACTAATTATGAAAATTATGAAAGGGCTCGGTAAAATAATTGATACAATTTATTTAAAATACAATAAAAAATATTAAGTTTTAGAAACTTATTTAAAATAAAACTTATTTAAAATATAAAATCATATGAGTCGGTAAAGTAACTGATACAACTTATTTGAAATAAAAAATATAAAATAGAGGTTCCGAAAACTTATTTAAAATATTAAATAAGAAATAGATCACAAGAAATTATTTCAAATATAAAATAAGAAATTGGACCCAAAAATGTATTTATTTATTTAAAGTATAGAATAACTTTTATTTAAAATAGAAAAATAACTTGTTTTTTGTTGCAAATAAATTTTCAAAGGCAATTTCTTATTTTAAATAAGAAATTGATTTCGAAAACTTACTTAAAATATAAAATAAAAAATATGCACTTTAAATAAACGTTTCAAATAGTAAATACAAAATATTTTAACGATTTTGTTTATTTGAATATACATTTTTATAAGTATAACGGTTCAATTTGTTTTTACAACTATACAGGGCTCGGTCTTATTTAAAATAAATTTATTTAAAATAATATTTTAAATAAAGAAAAAAATAAACGTTATTTATTATTTATTATTTTAAATAATAATTATTTTAAATAATTTCTTTTGACCTATTTCTAATTTAATATTTTAGATAAATTTTAAATAAATTAATTTAATATTTTTTATTTTAAATAAGTTGTATCAGTTTTTATCGATTTTATATTTTAAATAATTTTCTAGAACCTATTTTATATTTTTTATTTTAAATAAATTGTATTAGTTATGTTACCAATCCGTCAGTAAAAGTGATGGTGAGTAGTTATAAATTATAGTCTATTTATGATCGAGTATAGCATGTATAGGATACAAGATCACCTACATATGATCCATGTTTTGATTTTCCACCTGTGGTTCGCGAAGAGTTAATACTATTAAATATTAATTATAGGCTATAGTTATAAAAAAACTGAAACGTTATACTTATAAATGTATATTCATATATTCAAATAAACAAAATCATTAAAATATTTTGTATTTATTATACTATTTGAAACGTTTATTTAAAGTACATATTTCTTATTTTATATTTTAAGTAAGTTTCCAAAATCAATTTCTTATTTAAAATAAAAGACAAGTTATTTTTCTACTTTAAAAAGTTATTCTACATTTTAGAAATAAATAAATTTTCGAGTCCTATTTCTTATTTTATATTTTAAATAATTTCTTGTGACCTATTACTTATTTAATATTTTAAGTTCTCGGAACCTATTTTATATTTTTTATTTCACAAATAGGTCGTATCAGTTTACTTTACCGATTCGTATGATTTTATATTTTTTATTTTAAATAAGTTGTATCAGTTATTTTACCGAATCCCTTTGGATCGAATAATTAATCATATAATGATATCTAAAAAAGCAAAATGTCTAATAAAAAAAACTTCCTAGCGATCTACGGGTAAAAATAATTAACTACATGACCTCATTTACTTGTTACATACTACATTAAATTAGCGAGTGTGTGTGTGTGTGAATATGAGATATTTTACATATGCACAGGCGCATATGATGGACGCGAGAACGCATTGCACATGTCGGGATAGAGTTACGAATACAAGGGGTATTAAAACGGGGCTGAGAGCTACTATTTAGCTGGGAACTATCGGGGTGGGTCATGGTCAGAGAAAGGAGGGCAACCCTCGCTATACCCAGGCAAGCCTGGACAAACTGTGCCATATTAACCAGCATTTCAGAAACGCTGCATCCGAAATTTCCAATATGTAATATAAGAATGTGACAAAACTGTTTAAATATTTTTGTCTATTCAAGAGTACAATAACATTGATCAATTTTTTTCAAACATAAAAATGAAAATAATTGTTTTCTGGTTTTTGGATATTGAATAGTATTTCATTAAATTAAATTATTTTATTAAATTATAATATTTATGTCATAATTTTGAAAAATTAAGTTAAAATTGTGAAAGAGAACAATTTTAATATATGTATACTTGCACATTATAACAACAATATGTAACGTATTGGAGAAATTTTAATCAAATTGTAATCAAATAAGTATGTTTTAGAACTTGTAGTCCTTAAAAGAAATTTGTTGTATCAACGATGATTAAAAAAAATATTTATAACTATACTATAATATACATTATATCGCATCAAAATTACGATACATACATATATGCTATTAAGAATCCATCAAATATATTTTAGTTGTATGTTATTCAAAATTAAGATCTTTCCAGAACGTTAAATAGTAATCTGATGTCAAAATTAATAAATTCAATTTAAATTGTATAAAAAAGATCCTATGCATAAATTATTCTAAAAATTCGAACATTTATTAATTGTGATATATTCATCATATTGATTCCATTATTTCTAATATAAATTCACCCGCAAAAAAGCGGTACACCGAAAAATTTATCAAATTTCAAATGATCATAACTTGATAAATAATGAAGATAAAAATATGTTTAAAAATATACAAAATGAAGCTTGAAATGTCCACTTTAAGAATATTTGAATGAGATTTAAACTGAGCTATTATGATCAAAATGTCAGATGACAAAGTAAAAAGATGCAAAGTTGATAATCGAAGGTGCGTGATTATCACGATGCATGGCATAAATCAGAAATGACAGCCTAATAGGACAAAATACACATAAAAGTATTTGATCTTTAAAATGCTTTTTTACAGAATTCGATATGATCTTTTTTTTTTGTTTTATTAACATACCAACTAACATGCCATAATCGGAATTTAAATTATAGAGTTTTACTGTTTTATGTACAGTGTTCCTCCTAAAATGTGCTTCCTTTGAACTATAAATTCTTTAGTTAACTTTAAATTAATATTTCTTTTACATAATGTATATAGGTATATAGTTATAAAAAAAACCAATTAAAAATATATCTAAAAATATATCTA